AGGGGTTCGACCCCTGCCTCAAATATTTGGTATTTTTCTTATTTCCTTTCAGGTTATCCAGCGCGTTCACAAGCCAAAGGAGTACCATGCTCCATCATAATCCAAAGCGCCAAATGTCATGAAGGCCAGATCCAAGGGCCATGATGGGAGGAACACCAAAGGCAAGGTCAAAGCAATCACATAAGATCCAGGAAGTCAACGTGGACCTCATCTTTTTGGGCCCAGATCTGGCTATTTGCACCCCTCCAAAATACTATTCAGGCCCAAATTTCTTTCTCTATATTATTTTACTTTATTTCTTTTAATTTATTTATTTATTTACTAACCAATTAATTATTTTCTTTTTATCAAAAAATCACAAAAATATTTTTTCACCAATTAGATTTAGGTTTTTTTTATCAATAAATTTATTAATTTAATTAGATTTAATTTTAGGTAAAACTTTAATTTCTCTTTGAATATAATTAAAAATAATTAGAATAAATAGGTTTTATTACTAGCTTAATTATATTTTATTTTTTTCCTAAAATAATCAAAAACCAAAATAGGTCATGTAATTATTTTCATTAATTAATTTTATCACTAATTAATTTGAACATTTATTTTTAAAACCTAAATCCTTTTCTTAAAAAAAATATTAAAAACAACAAAAAAACATTTTTCTTTTAATTAGGATAAAAGGGTCAAAACCCTAATTTCTCGTCGATCTCATTTTCATCGCGCGCTTTATAATCTTTTACCCAATTATTGTATATGCCTACAGTTTGTAATAGTTTAATTAGGACATTTATTCTATTTATCATTTTATTTTCAAAGGGTTTTTTTTTGGCTATGTAAATACCTGAAGCCTTGTAATAGTGTAGTTTAATTTCCGCATTTTAAATTCCGCAAATTATTAACAGTTAGATGTATGATATTAGGATGCATGACAAGAATGCATGATTAATTTTAAAAGAGTTAGATCACCCTAAATGTGCAAAGATAAATAAACTTAAATTGAATCACTCGCACATGCGCACTCCTAGGGTACACTCCCACTTGGTTGCCTTCGGTAAACGGTCATTGAGTATAGGATGCTTTAGTGGTCGTCCTTTTGTCCAAAGATCAAAGTTGCCTCAGAAAGGTTGCCTCAGATATTGTTGCCTCGGATAATTGATCTAAGACATTAGGGTTACTACTAAGACGTCCTAACATTGCTTTAGTGGTCGTACGTCCCTTTTGAATTGACCCTTAAAACTCTAACGATGATGCTACCTACTCACTAATAGTGGGATAGCATTGTCTAAAGGAAACAAACATAGAACGATTCTTTTTTCGAGTAGGTAGATTAGCTCTTAAGTACTTGCTCAATCAAAACAAACTTTTTTCACACTTACACTCCTTTACAAACAAAGTTTTCAAAAACACTTCACTACACTCTTGAAGACAGAAGCAAGAGTTAAATCAAAGTCAAAACAAAAGCTTTTCAAATCACGCAAACACAAAGAAAACAATTTTGAAAATGATGAGCAAGTAACTAAGAGCCTGTAGATAACTATGGATAGAAAGGGTGCTAATACCTTCCCTTTCTATAATCTACCCCTCGTACTCAAATATCTCGAAAAAGGAATTTTTCTGTACTTTTTTCCTTTCCTTGTTGGATAAAATAAAAGACGGTGGCGACTCTTGCTTACCGCGACATTTTACGAACACAAACGCAAAACGCAAACCAACAAATTCCTTAACAAAATAGGGAAACACATCCCGGTTCTGGCCACCGTATCACACTATCCTACCATTGGTTAGTAGGAAGCCTTATCGTTGGATATTTAGGGACAAGCGTGGGTCATCATACAGTCATAAAGGCAACATATAGGGATACCTTTAGCAATTCAAATGGACTATCATCATGTATTCATAGGCAATATCGAGGGGAAAGATCATTTATTAAAGGCAACATCGAAGGATCATCGAGGGACTATGATCTTTATGATGATTTTTAATTGAGGATCTTTGCTAATGGCATCCCTATGTTCGAGGGACATGACTGTTTTTCGTAAGCAACAAGTGGAGTCACCCTAGAGGTACGTGTGTAAAAAATGCTTTGATTTCAGTTAATTTGTCTTGATTATGGTTATCTAGCGTTTGTTTTTAAATCTTGCCATACAAGCCTATTACTAATAGTTAAATATATACATACATTCAGACATAAGTGCGGAAAGTAAAAGTGTGGGGAAATAAACCTAGACTATTACATCCCATGGGCAGTTACATAATAGGAAAAATACGAGGAAATGTAAACTACGATTATTACAAAATCAACCGTGCGACCTATACATTTATTTCTAGAAGTTTTAAATGACAGAAAAAATAAATGTTAGAGAAATTTTTTAATAACCCTAAAATTCTAAGTGAAGAAAAATATTTTTTGATGTTTTATTTATGGAGAAAAAGAAATTAAAGTAATAATAAAAAAACAACTAAAACCTAATTATTCCTAATTCTTCTCTTTAAAAAAAATTTAATTAATTAAAAAATTCTAATTATTTTTTATACAAATTATAAAATTAAATAAAAAACCTAAGTCTAATTATTATTTTTTAATTAAATTAGTTTTATATTTTTATCTAAATAAAATAAATAAAAAAAGAAGAAAATACAAAGAAGAAAATACAAAGAATAAAAAAAATGTTGGGCCTGGTATGAAGGAATTTGGGGGTGTGCTGGAAGAAATTCGCTTAGGCCCAAACATGTAAGCCCAAACTTTAAATGGGATCCAATGTTGCTCTCCAGTGAGGGTCCAACGTGGGCATGGCTATCTGAAACGCTAGATATGGGGTTATGAAGATCCAATGGTGGTGAGGTGAGGTTACAGGATGAGCGCGCTGAGCTGCTTTACACTGAATCTGTAAATAAGGAAACATGAAAAATAAAAATACCAGGGGCAGGGATCGAACCCGTGCCATGGTATACCAATGTCTTTGCAACGCTCTCTTCTATCGCTAAGGCAGCTGTTACATCCGTTAATACAAATGAAATAATAAACATATAATGTATAAACGAACATGATAACCGGAGAAGCGCCGGAGCCCTAGCTGCGGTCGTCTACTCCGGTGACCTGCATAGCCTGAAACCTGCAAAAATCAAGTATTAGTGATCCAAAACATCATGTCCCCCCTAATTCAACCCCTGGATTCAAATTTGGCCTTAATTTTGGCTATAGACCCTTGGATCATGAGTTTCGAGTCAAACATAACCGATCGGAGAAAATATGGTGCTTTTCAAATCTACGTGCATGGGACCACAACACTTATTCAAACATGTTCAAGGATGTCTCAGAAACTTGTTCGAAGCATCAAACCAATTTAAAACAAGACAGGATTAAAGATATGATTTTAAAAAAAAATGTGATACCGGTATGGCCATGCTTTGCAATTTCATGTGTTTGGGACCATGATAACCGATCCAAACCTACCCTTTGATGTTCTAGGATATGAATGGTATTGAGGTTTTGGAACGAGGGGGCTTGTAACACCAGTTTTGAAACTTAGGGTTTTTTGAGAAAATATTGAGAATGTTTGCAAGCTTCTTGAGGCAGGGATGTGTGGTTTGTGCTTCTGATCTTGTGTGTATATATAGAGGAAGAAGTAGGGTGAACAAATATGGCAAGAAAAAAATGCATTCATGGCCATGAGACAAGAATCAAACACACTTATAACCTTCCATTTTTGAGATTTTTCTTGCCATTTTCAAGTTCACACGGTTTTGGCATATTCTTCATGTGTTTTTGGGCCTCCATGTGACTGAAATTCAAAGCCCATGCGCCTTGGCCCAATGATTTTGTATTTCATTTGATTTAATTGCATTTAAATGAATAAAAATTCAAATAAAATAAATAAAAATCATGAAAAATATGTGCATGGATTTAGAGGCCCTCTAACACATTATAAACATATTTGAACATCAAAAGTTAGGCCCACTAGTTCAAAATTTCAAGTTTGCTCACTTTGTACTCCATGCATTTCCTCAAAATTTTTCAACTTGCATTGGTTATAAATCTCTCAATTTTCATCTTTTGAATATGATCTTTGACTTTTTGGAAAGCTCAATATGTCCTCTTCAATTTCTCTTTTGATCATTTTTTTTCATTTTGAGACTTTATCTTGATGTATGTTGCCTTGACAAAAAGTGTTTTTTTGTTGATTTTTGAAATGACATGTAATGTATTGTCTAATATCTCTCAAGTGAAGCACTTTTTGGACTTGAGCATAAATAAAAAGTTGTAGAGAGTTGAAGTTCTTTCAAAATTGACTTTAGTTGGGGGAAAAGTTCATGACACATGTGAAAGTTATGCTCCGTCAAAGTTCAGTTGATTTCTCCTAAGGAAACTCTAATTTGACAACTTTGGACTTTTGATGATTTGAGAGCTTCTCTTGAGGAATCATGATCAAACCTTGATCAAATGATGAATATCACTTCAAAATTTTGATGTTGACCAAAAATCTTAAAGTTTGACTGTATGTTTACCATAATTGACTTTTTATCCAATATAATTGATTTTCAATCATCTGAACCATTGACTGAGCAAACATGTGATGCAAGGCTTGAAACTTGATATGAGTATTGTTGAAGACCTATGGAGATCCATGGAAACCACTTGAGACCTTTGCAACCCAAAATTCTTTGAGAAACACAAAGCCCTAGTTATAGACACATTGCTTAGGAGGAGAATTGACTGGTCAACTCTTGAGTAACCTTGAATACTTGAGAATCTTTTGAGAATGTTTTGAAGAAAATTGGAGGGAAAATTTTGCGGTACAACAGACAACAATAACAATCCTAAACACTTTCTCACAACTAACATATATTATGATTCTTGTGTTATTGGTAAGTATTGTGAGAAAAACGGCCTTACACTTGCTATTGTTGCTTACCGAAGGGGGAAATGTGATCGTGAGCTTGTCAATGTTACCAATAAAAACTCTATGTTCAATCTCTAAGCCAACTATGTTGTGGAACACATGAATGGAGGCCTCTGGAAAAAGATTCTAAATCCTGATAATGTGTTTAGAAGGAAGTTGATTAATCAAGTGGTGCCTACTGCTTTGCCTAAATGCAAGAGTCCTGACCAAATTTCAGCTGCAATTAAAGCTTTTATGAATACCAATCTTACTCACGAAGTGATTAAGCTTCTCAACAAGATTGTGCTACAAAGTTCTTCCTTTATTGGAAACTTCAACCTGAATGGTTTATCGACCACTACTGCAATAAAAACATATCCTAAAAGAGTCATGGGTTACATAAATAGGCTGGACAACTTTGATGGCTCTGTTGCCATTTTCAAGAAATTCAATCTGAATGTTCAGGCTATTAATGCCCTGCTAGATAACCTTCAGACCATTGATCGAGCTATGGAATTTGCATTCTGTGTTTAAAAAGATTATGTATGGAGTCAGGTAGCTAAGATAAAATAAGCAAAGGCTTAGTAAGTGATGCAGTAGAGTTGTTCATCCGTGTAGATGATGTCATTCACTTCTTAGAGGTCATAAAGGCTGCTGAAGGTGAAAATGTATACCTTGAGAACTTTGAAAGTGTTATTTTACAAAGGACAAGGTTGATCTTTAAGGGGTGAGTAATAATAAAGTAAAAATTATAATTAATTAGAAATAAAATTTATATTATTGTTATTTAAGAGGATGATTTTCACAAAAAATGAGGATGATTTTCCAAATTCAAGAGGAAAGCAATTGATGAACAGTAACAACCTTCTCCAGTTATGATCAATAAAGTGGACGTATATAACACAAAAAAAATACTAATAAATATTAAGCTCATTTTGCCGGCGGTCATTTTGCAACTTAACCATGTCGGTCATTTTGCTAGCAAGTCATCTTAAGCTTCTCTTCAAGATATGACCGTTTTTTAGAGCATGTAACACAAGCTATTGTACGTAACATCAAATTTTTCAAGTTAAATTATAATTAAATAGAACTTTATAAATTATATTTTAGGTTAAATCATAACTAACTAGAATCTTTATTTCTTGTTATAGTTAAATTATAATTCATCTTCACAAAACCTCCAAATAAAAATTAAGATGACTCTAGTTCAAGATTAAAATCCTTCCAACCTACTGGTGTATTATATAGATAATATAAAGTATTTATACAAATATTAAAACACAATTCGGAGTCTAACATTACAACATAATTTTTCTTTCTTTAGGATATTCATATTGAAAATAATTTATATTTTACGAATATTTAGAAATATCTTTTTATATCTTTGTTAGAGAATATTTTAGTATTTTATTATATTTTAATTTTGTGTATAAATAATCTAGTAATGGGTAGGTCAATGTAATTCATTAATTCCTTATTCCTTATTTTGTAGCCGTCATTAAATACTTTATTTTTCTTCTTTCATCTCTCATTTGTGCACCAACAATTAGTATCAGAACTTCGGTTCGAAACATGGGAAACACGAGTGAACAATGAGATATTGTGTGATTGAGAATCTTGATTCTGTGAGATTTGGGAAACACTGTTTTTAGTGAGTTTTTGAGTGAATTGCACAAGATTGAAGATGAACGGAAACAGCGATATAAATTCCAAGCTTTCAGCGTTTGATGGCAAATACTGGAATCGTTGGAAGATTCAGATGTGTGTGTTGTTTGGTTCTCAAGATGTGTTAGATCTTGTCACCAATGGCTATGTTCCGTTAGCAGTAGACGCAATAAAGGCACAGAAGATAACGCAGAAGGCGCTAAGGAAGAATAATCAGAAGGCGTTGTTCTACATCCATCAATGTGTGGATGCAAACGTGTTTGAGAAGATTATTGATTTTGAAGCAGCAAGGGCTGCGTGGGACACACTTGTCAGATGTTATGGTGGTGATGCATCAGTGAAGAAGGTGAAGCTTCAGTATCTCAGAAAGCAATATGAGAATCTCAATATGAAGGACACCGAGAAGGTTTTTGAGTACATCTCCAGAGTGATTTTGATCACTAATGAGATGAAAGCTTGTGGAGAAACTCTTTTTGAACAAGTAATCATTGAGAAGATATTGAGATCTTTAACTTCTCAGTTTGATTATATTGTGGTAGCAATAAAATATTCCAAAGATCTGAGCACCATGAGAGTTTAAGAGCTGCAAAGTAGTCTAGAGGCACATGAGTTACGTATGACTGAGAGAACTTCTGAAAGGGAAGTTGAGCAGATAGCTCTAAAAGTAACTTCTGGTAAGAAGTATCAGAAGCAGACTTGGTCAGAAGTCAGGAAGAAAACTAATGATGGTCAAAAGTCAGAAGCTTCAAACTCTGATAGGAAGAAGAATGTCTAGAAGAGAAAGGAAAAGTATGACAAGAAGAATGTTTAGTGTTACTGTTGCAAGAACTTTGGTCATTATGCCAAAGATTGTTGGTCGAACAAAGAAAGGAAGTCAGAAGAAGCAAATATAGCCAAAGGAGAGTCTGACGATGAACCTGTGCTATTTATGGCTTATGAATCTGATGAGGAACCGATGAAATTGTCATTTTATGATTCTGAAGGGGAAGAAGATGACTATGAATATTCTGACTCTGAAGGAGTGTTTGAATATGAGTCAGAATCATAAGATGACGCTGTATATTTTGAAGATGAGTCAGAATCTGGGGTTTCTGCAGATGAATTAGAGTTAGAAGATAACTCTAAAGCTGAAGACAATTCAGAATTCGAAGAAGATTATGCTTCTGAAGGTGAGTCAGATGGTGAATCTGATTCTGATCCAGATTTTAATGATGATTCAGAATCTGGTGGCAATCATGCTTCTAGAAGGGAAAACTCTGATGACGTAGGTTCTGAAGGACAAGCTTATAAAGATAATCATGTTTCTGGTGGAAATCATGACTCTAAGGATGAACCTTTTGAAGGAGGAGATTCTTAAGGAAATTCAGCCTTCGACGGTGATCATGATTCTGAAAGTGGAACTTCTGAAGGCAGAGGTGATCCAACTTTTAAAGATGGTATTTCTGAAGGTAGTGACTCTGACTCCGACGATGATTCATACTCTGGGAATTTTCTAGACTCTGAAGATAGTCAAGGTTTTGGAGAAAGTCTAATTTCTGAAGCAAGAGTTTCTGAAGGGAAAAGCTCTGGAGTCTGAGGTTCTAAAGTTCAAATTCAGAGGCAACAAAGAGTCAGAAACATCCCAAGAAGATTTGCAGAGTTTGACATGTTACAAGACACTAAAGTAGACTCTGAAGGAGAAGTTATTCAGTGTGCAATGTTAGTAGACTCTGAATATAAGTACGGAAGAGGCTCTTAAGCAGCAAGTCTAGTTGCAGGCCATAAAAAAAGAACTTGAAGCTATATAGAGAAACAAGATTTGGAAGCTGACATCACTACGCCAAAAATAAGCTTTAGCATCACACATACGAAAGCGCTTTTAGGAAAAAGCGCTGCTGTAGGTATTAAAAAAAATTCGCTTAAAAAAAGCGCTTTCAAAGGGTACCTTAAGAAAGCGCTTTTCAAAAGCGCTGCTAAAGGTCACCCTTAGAAAGCGCTTTTTGAGAAGCGCTGCTAAAGGGTGCCTTTCAGAGGGAACCTAAGAAAGCGCTTTTCAAAAGCGCTGCTAAAGGGCAGCCTTAGAAAGCGCTTTTCAAAAGCGCTGCTAAATCTGGCCTTTAGAAAGCGCTTTTAAAAGCGCTGCTATAGGGTATGCTACGAAAGCGCTTTTTTATGAAAAAGCGCTGTTATACATGACCATTAGAAAGCGCTTTTAAAAGCGCTTTCGTAGGTTGTTTTATAATAAATTTTAATGTTTTTGATTAAAGATGTGTTGTGTGTTCGTACTGGCTTTTGTGTTTCCTCTCTTCCAAACCCTTTCGTTCCCGTTCCTGTTCCTGTTCTTCGTCCAAAGCGATTTTTCACGGTAGCCACCATCGTCAACTCTCATCGCTGCCCACGAGTCGTCCCTCTCTTCACAAGGTTCGTTGATTATTATTTTCTTCTCATTTACAGTGTATTGGTTGTTGTTGTTGTTTGATGATTTTTGAAAGTTTCCTAAAACCCTTTGATGATTTTTTAATGGTGTTATTAATATGTTATTTCATTTCGAGTTAATGTTGAATGAATTAAACTTGGTGTTGATTTTGATTGTTCCTAATTTTGTTTTAAAACATGTTGGCTTTGAATTTGTGATGACATTGTGTGATTTGGTTTTGAATGACGAACTCGGTTATGGTATTGTTGTTTATCGTGTGCACATGGAACACTTGTTTGAGATGAGTTTTATTGAGCATTATTAGGATTACATAGTTGTTTCCCGGAATTTGGTTCGGTTGATTTTAGCTTACTTTGAGCTTGGTTTTTCATATCATGAACTTGAATTGGATAAGAGCTTGAATTTTTTGTTCCCGTTAGGTGATTATGTTTTAAAAGTTATTGAGCGTTTATTGAATAATCGGGCACGGAATATATTCTTGGAAGCCATAGTGACATACAAAATTCTTGTTTCATTGATTAGCAGGCACAGTTAGTGTTTCTCATTCACACTAGTTGGACGGCAGGTAATTGTGATTCCCGACTAAGGCTCTCTGTCTTTTGATGTTTGTTTAATGTGTTTTGGAAATTAATCAGTTTCTTTAACTTCTTCAGGACCTTCCGATTCATAGCAACATATCTCACCGGAGAACTCAAACGTGTCAAATCGTCAGAAAACAAGAGAACCGTCAGGTGATTGTTTCTTCTTTTCAATCTATACAAAATATTATTGTATAAAATCTTTTTACCTTGTCAATGAATTAATATAATAAAGTTGCATCTTTTTACCTTCACTGAATTTCTTTGTACATGAGATGTGAGAGAAAAATGATTATGCATATTTGATATTATTAGATAGATCAAGAAATTTTTGCAATTTTAGGTTAGGAAAATGGAATACGGTTCAGTTTGGATGGAAAAAGTACAAGGGTTTACGATTCTGAAAGAAAATGAAAACGCGATAGAATTTGGAAAACATAGCCGTGTAAATTGGAAAATGGGTATATAGGAACATGGTGGCTGGTGGAGAACGGTCGTGGAATTTGAGCGAGGTCGGTTCTTATGACCGCCGTAAGACATGAAATGTGACTTGTACCTTCCACCAAAGGGATTCTATATATTTTGCCTTTACATAACCAAAAAATTGACGACGGTTGGCTCTTACGGCCGCAAAAATCGTCGTAGAAATTTCATTTAAGTTATTATCTCAATTTCATTGAAATTAAGGGAAGGTGTGCCCTTAGATCGATAGGAGAACTCCTTAAACAAATTTATCTCTCCTTCTCTTTCACTCATTTTTATTGTAAATTGTGAATTCATTGATTGTGCAATCAACATATTGAGATAATTTTCTTATCAATAATATTTTAAACAATTTTTTGTTGAGTTGATTGTAATCTATAAAATTGCAATTG